AAAAAATAAAAGGAAGACTTTAATTAAAAAATTAATTAAAATATAGTTATAAATTAATAAAAACCTATAAATAATAATGGAAAACTTAATAAAGATAAAGGTAATTATAAAGTAATTATTAAGCATTAAAAGGATTATTATATATAATAAAGCTAAAGGAATTAAAAGAAATAGAAAAGGAGGAATATAAGGAAAAAAGAACTTAAATAAGGGGATAAAAAGGGCCCCTTTAAAAGTCCTTAAGGAAAGGGAAAAGGCCTTCCTTTTCTTTTTAAATAATTAAGGAGTATAAAAAAAGTAAAAAAGTCTAAGCTTTCTTACCTTCCCTTTTCCTACTATATAGTTAAACAATATATACTAATTTATATAGGGCCGAAAAGCAGTAAAGCAGTAGTTAAAGGTTATATAGGGTTTTTATCCAGCTTTTATACAGTTTTACTTATAAATATATAAGTAAAAGAACTACGCTATATAGGCGGCACAGCAGGTATATAATAATAATATATATATATAGTATAAAATGTTAGTTATATTTTTAAAAAGCTTTAAATTTAATAGTTTAAATTTAAATATTAAAGTTTTTATTTAAGGAAATTATTATATTATTATTTATATTAATAATCTTTTAATTATTAAACTTAAAATATTAAAAATTATAAAGATTAAATAAGCATTAAGTAATAAATTTTAAATAAGTAACTTAAGCCTTATTAAATATTATTTAGGAATAATTATTAAATAAAATTATAAGGTATATACCTTAAGGCTATTATAAAAGGTTTACTTAAAAAAAATACTTATAAAGTTTAAATTTTAAAATTTAAATAAGTTAAAATATTAAAGATTAAAGCTAACTTATATTTCTTTATTTATTAAAATAAAAGTATTTAAAGATCATTTTATTTTAAATTTAAATAATTAAAAATAATATTAAAGAGCTATAAGCTTATTAATATATATAATATTAAATATTTAATTTAATATAGCATTTATTATTTTTAAATGTAATAAATATATAGTTAAACTTAATGCCTCCTATATTAAAGCAATAAAATAAATATTTAAATATTTTAACTTTATAATTAATTTAGAATTAATATATAAAAAAGGTAAAATTAAATTATAAAGCTTTATTAATTTAAATTAGGAAGTATATAAAAAGATTTATTAATTAACTTTAAGGTATATATTTAATTTAAGGAATAGTATTATTAATTAAAGTTCGAAAAGGTAGTTAATAGTTTTATTATCTTTATTTAAAGTTAAATTAAAAGGGTAAACTTAAATTATTAAGGAAGTTATTTAAATATAAAAACTATTAATTAAATTAAATATTAATTTAAGTAATATATTTATAATTATTTATAATAATAATTAAGAAGTAATTTTAGCTTTATATAACTTATTATTATATAATAAAGAGAAATATATATTAATTTAAAATTAATAGTATTAAGAATAAATTATTATTAAAAAAGTTAATTTTAAATATATTTTAATTATTAATTAAGTAGTAGATAGGCTAATAAAAGTATTATTAAACCTAACCTTTAAAAAGTTTAAAAAATTATTAAGCTTAAAATAAATAATAAAGTTAAAATAGTTTATATATAAAGCTAAGTAAAAATTCCTATATTAAAATTAACTTAAGTTAAAACATTTTTATTGCTATATTTTTTAATAATAATAAATAATATAAAAATTATCCTTATAATTTAAAAATATAAAACTTAAATTATTAAAAATTAAATTATAAAATGAATATAAGCTTAAAGAAAATTATTAATAATAATTTAAAAAAAGTTTAAAATAAAACTATAAAATATTTTAAAATAATATTTTAAAAAGTAAAATAATAAATATTATTAATTAACTTAAATTAAGTTTTTTAAATGCTTATATATTTAAATATAATAGGATTAACCTTTAAAAAATACCTTTAATAATATAATAATAATAAACTATTAATTCTTTAAAGTTACCTTAAATTAACCTTACCTATAAATAATAAAGTATATATTTATTTATACTTTATATTTTTTATTAAAGCTTTTTAATATTAATAATATTTAAAACGTTATAAAAGTAATTAATATAATAATATAATAATAAAAGCTACTTTAAAAAAGTTTTAATTAATTATAAAATTAAACAATTTAACTATAATAGCTTTATTTATTATACCTATAATAGGTTTATTAATTAAGTAAAAGGTAAAAGATAAGGTTTAATATACTTTTAATATTATTATAATAAAGGAAAAAAGTTAATAAGAAAAGTATATAATAATTTAAAATTATAACCTTTATAATTAATTAAAAAAAGGTATAAGAGTTAAAAAAGCCCTATAAGGTTTTTAAAGTTTAACTTATACCTATTTTAAAACGAAGTTAATAAGTTTAATAATTTAATATAATATAAATTAATAGTAAAATAAGTAAAAGAAGTATATATATTATTTTATAAAAAGAATTAAAATATAATATAAAATAAGTAATATACCCTTTTTAAAAATTTAAGATTTATAAATTATAAGTTATTTATAATTTATACCTTAATAAAGGTATTAATTATTAAAAGAAGTAATTATAGGAATATATATAAATATTATAAAAATAAAGGGGGGAAAAATAAATATTTATAAGGATACTTATATTTATATAAAAATAATAAAATATATAATATATTATAGCTATTATATATTATAATGCTTTAATTTTAAAAGCTTTATATTATAAATAATAATTTAAAAGTAATATTAATAAAACTTTTACCTTTTATAATATCCTATTTTAAAAAATTTAATATTACTTTTATTTATTATTTTAATAATTATAAATAATTTAACTTTTAAAAAGTTTTACCTTATTTATTTTATTTTATTAAACGTGCTTTAAAATATTATCCTTATATTATTTAATATAACTATTTAATTTACCTTAAAGGGAGCTACCCTTAAAAGGGAGTTAATTAAGATTTATAATATTAATTAATATAAGGATTAAAAGGGAATGTTAAAAAGGGAAAGCGGTAATATTTGCATTTTATATATTGGAATGTTAGGAATTTATATATAAGACCTTCATTTAGCTAAATAATTATATTATAACTTAAACTTTTAAATAATTTAATGGGATTACATGTACTACTCTTAATAATTATACTTGGGACTCATCAATAAGTCTTGAGGATCATTGAATGAAAGTAATAACTTACCAATTCTCGAATCCTAAAAGCTTCATCCTCAGCAACCTTAAATTTTCAGCTTGATTATCGCAGAGCTGGCAGACTGTTGTTGCCCGCTGAGGATGCTGAGATATTCTCCGTACTTCTGGGGAATTTGGTAAATCAGACTTGGTCATGTCAAGAGTAGTACATGCAATCCTGTTAATTATTAAGAAGGTTGAGTTGCAATACGCCTTGCGGCAGGATGAAAGGTTTCCTTTTAATATACAATTCAGCGTATGGGTCGTCAAGTATCACCACCTTCCACTTCTGACAGATTATAAGTAGCCGTCTATGATATTCAAATGATTATTATAAACGTATAAGGTATATAAACTAAATGCACAGTTTGCCTTATACTATAACTATATAAAAGGCTATTATAAGGTATTTATAATCTTTTTAAGATATATAAGCAATATTGGGCAATATTAAAAAGTAAGGTTATATAAACTTAGCTTTTTAAAATAGACCCCAAAGACCTAAACGGTTTGGGTTGGCAGACCAGTTGTATATAGAGTCGAGTCAAGCCACCAACAGCCAAGAAGGAGTTGGTTGGTCAAGGACTCATACAGCCCTAGTTGATCATTATAATCTGAATTGCCTAGATTCCAAGCTCAGTATTGCTGCCCTTGTTATACAACCAGTGCACAACAATACAGTTATAACGAGAAAACCTTAACACCCATTGTATCACCAAGTCATTTCATCACGTCTTGTATAATAATTTGGGCGTTATTGAGCCCAAGGTAGTAGAGATGATGAAGCGCCTGGCTCCAATGTGATGCCATTTTAGCACATATATTCTGATCGCCTTGCTCGATATCGTCCGTTAATCTTTGTCGACATGCTAGTTTCATAACAGAATCGCTGCTTATAAGCACACAGACCTAAATTTGGTGTATAGGAGGCTAGATTCCCCATACTGCAAATATTACGGATTTAGATTCCGGATGAACACCGAAAAATCCGATCATTCTCATCCCCAGTGACTATAGCGACAAGACCGAACGGTTTACAAAGTTTTTCTGCGGGGAAACGCGTTTTACCCAGAGTTTACCTTCGAGAATCTGGTCTTTCCAGAGTTTATTATATCCGAGGGTCATTTCGGAAACGGGGCAGAATGCCAACGGTACTGAGAGCACAAGCACTGAATGCAAACTAACGTATCCCAGTGGTTCGTGGTATAGACTCGACCGGCTTATCAGAAATCTGGCACAGCAATGGCTCTATACTTTCGAGGCAACTGTGCAAGATGATCAGGGCTGACAGTGCATTTCCTAGGGCGCTACAAGCACGCGTATTTTGTAGGCCGTGCTTAGTACCATTCTGACTCCATCGATGCTCGGTTGGGTATCGATTCCCCGGGCTGGAAAGCTGTTACCCACAATGCAACAAGTGCGGCCGAAATATTTGCGATGCTTGCGCATGGTGATATACAGGAAACTTTGCCTAGACAGGCGCAGCACATGAGCAACACCAAGCTTAAGTCTGCAATTGAGGGCTGCATGATCCGGTTGGGGAATATCTCTACGAGCGGACGCAATGAGAATGAGCTCAAGCTTAGCGGCAGATAAGACGTTGAAGAACCTATATATGCGGTTGGAGTGGTGCGATAGGATATGAAGAGGACGAGAAAATTAGAGAAGGCAGGGCTAGAATATAGACTCATCCCGGGGTTCTCGCCACTGACATATTTATAAAGTTAATATATCCAACACTAAGAATGCTTTGAGCAATGCTGTAGAACCTAGAGTCCAGTTCACAGGCCCTACCATCCGTCTAAGGCGTCCGTCGATGGTACTTTCTCAGCTAATTCTTCAGCAATTCCGCATATACCGCTTCCCAAACATCCAAGATGTATATCATCCTGATATTACCATCACCATGTTCGGTCAGTGCTTATAAACCAATAACTCCCAAACCGAGAATTGATGCGCCAAGCATCCATGTAGGAATAATGAGGCCTGCAGCGGCACCAGTCCCCGAATCATTGCCGTCCGATGCAGGCGTCTCAGTTTCTCTAGCGCCGCTGTCAGTATTAGTCCTAGTCGGTGTCGAAGCCGCCGCCGATGATGATAAGGTCGAAGTAGTTTCTGGAATATCGATATCAGGGAAGAGAGTCTCGCCACAGGTTCCTGGTAGCCCAGAGGCGTATGTGGCTTGATCGGCTTCGGGGCATTTCTGGATACATTGAAGCATGAGGCTGCCGTATATGCTCTGGCATGTGCATTCAGCGAGGTCGTCACCGGTCTCGTCGCCATCACACCACGAGCTCGTTGGGTTCTCGCTGATGCAGTCTTGTACACATGCTGGTTGTGTGGCAGCTAGGATAACACGCGTTCCCGCTAACATAAAGACGATAACTGATCGAGTGGTGAAAAGCATGGTGAATGTGGCCGTCCACAACAACTTCGATCGATCACTATTTCGTCCTGTTTAACTAGGAGTAGTTGATTGGATTGTTGAAAGTATTATTGAGTCAAGTGGAACAAGTAAATAGCCAAAGGGGAGTTAAGCCGAGGAAGTCATGTTTCCAGGAGTGTGAGAGCGGGCGTTGAGTATTTATAGAGACATTCCTCGTCTCGTTCACTTCCTCAATCCTGTCTGATAAATTAATACAAGCCATCTAAAGCATCCCCAAAGACCAGGCTGTTTCAACTTTTGATAATCTTGTTCAGCCGCATGAGTAATGTGACCCGTCATTGGCACTGGTTGTCTTGGTAATTAGTCTTCGCACCAATAACAGTCTTTGAATGCTTAGCTAACATTGTAGACCAATATTTAGCTGAACGCCCGGCAGGCAATAACCCCACATGGAGATCCGGCAGGCAAGATCGCATGATGCCAAGTTTACCTAGCTCGTCTAAGGGCCCAATCCTCAACATCCCCTCAGCTGCTACATGTAGAGGATGATGACTTGCAAACATTTGTCTCACAAAATTATATAGGAGACTTCTTTGATGGCAGGGATGTATTTATTTTTAGCTTGCTATCAGGTACATAGTATATCTTACAGGTGTACTACATCAGGGCATAGTGAAGTCTTGATAATCCCTTCCGGTTTAATGTTACGTATCACTTGTAGTTTTCTATAGTGTGCCTCAGGTTGTAATTTAGTATAGAAGAAACTTTCTCCGAAACTTGCTGAGGAAATCATCTTTTATATAGCACGAGGGTTGAAAATAGTGCAAAATGTTCTTGACCAAAGGCTATTTTATACAGTAACGGCGCGCGCGTTGTTAATCTAATCTCAGTAATAAATATAGCAATCCACCATTCTTTCATCTATTACATTTGCATTGTTACACTCACAAAAGGTTTTGCAACAGTCAAACACCTGGCGTTTTAAAAATCTCCAGATAGCTCGCAGCATCAATTCAGTCACACGCCTAGTTGAACTAGGTGCTTTATAGGAAAGAAACTGCCACAGTCACAGGTGTTCCAAAGCCCCCCACGGAAGCAAGCCAATCCTACCACGTTACTACATTTGACTCTATTTCCAAAAATTTCTGGTGAAGCTTTACTAAGTCACCCTTATCCGAGGCCCCGTATAAAGTATGGGCTTGGAAATGTAACTCATAATCAACCCTCCAGGTATGGGCGAAATGCCATCTTGCAGTCGTAACATCAACATTGGGAGCATAGCCTCGCAGATAGTGTGGTGTTCGGTGCCACCTAATTGCTTTGCGAGTAAGTCTGCACAAGGCAGTCTGACAATGTGGTGGGCTTCTGAGGTCAGTGATCCCTCTTGGGCGCTCAAGCTGTTACATCTTTGAAGCTGAAAATTGATAATCTTTGTCATAGCTTGGTCATTCTTGCGGTATCACGGTATTGCTCCCGGGCAATGTGGTGACCGATATGATCCTGCAACCCACAAGCACAAGACAATCTTTGGCCACACTCGAGCTGCTCCGCGCTTTGGACCGTTGAGGATGTCGCAGACATCGGGTTACCGCAAGGTGGATCTCTGCTAGTGGTGGTCTCATCGGGGTTATCTTGCTACGGTTATATAAGGGGGGTCTGTACTGAACCTGTACAGACCTAGTGAATTATTCGTTTAAAAAATGAAGACAAAATCGAACAATGCATTGTTACACTTGGAGACTTGTATATTTATCTACTTATCTAGATCTTCTTTGCTAGTTTTATACATCTCTCTTGATGAGAGAATGAACTAATCATCAGTGTCCATCTTTCATCACACATGAGAGTATGCAGAGTGAGAATATTATAGTACCAGGGTCTGGGTATCATTCATGTCTTCTTTAATGCCAAAATGCACCACCAAGACGCGTAGCGTGTAGGTCCGATTCTGATTATCAGGATTGTAGTGGAACTGGAAATGGAAATTCCTAGGGAACAAACATTACAAGCACTATTGTGACGCACGGTCATCGAATATAACACGCTTAGCTTCAAGAGGACGAAAATAGTTATGTGAAGGCATAGGAAAAGTTTTTGTAGTAATACACATCTTGTTGAAGAGCCTTAGACCCGCAGTCGCCCAGTTCCAGCAACTCCCCCTTGTCACAAGTCTATTCCGAATAGACAGATAGTAGTCCAGGTGATGAACTGAAAAGGCATTGCTGGCATGAGTGACTTGCATCTAGTTCACAATATTGCTAAGCTTTCCTCAAGGGCTATCAAAATATGTCTGGGTTATCTAGAGGATCAGGAGTGTGCTGCAGTAGCTGCAATATTCCTTGGCATGCCAAATCGCTCTCATCCGGCGCCCGCGCTCCATACGCAGACGCTGGCTTCCCAGCACCTCTTCGCGTTCGCCTGAGCATCTGCTGGAGTGATGGCCGATATTGTAAGTCGCCCAAGGCTTCGCAGAGAAGATATCGCAATTCGTTGTCTACCCAGCGAAAATGATCGTTGCCGTGCCTGTCTGGTATAATCTCCCATGCTTGTGTCCGCAACGGAGGATCGTGAATGTACGCGTACATGTTTCCCGCGAGTTGTGCATGCGGATGAATCAACGTGACCATAAGCTAGCGTAGTCTGCTGTTAGCAGAAAAGATTAGTGAATGATTTAGGACACTTTACCTGTGCACACTGGTGCATATTATATGTCTCTGCAATTTCACCGGCCCGAGCATGAGTAATGCCCTCAGGCTTTACATAGCCTGCCAGCCCAAAATCTATTAACACCAATTTAGGAATCGCGTTGTCTTTCAGCATTAACTTTGTTAGCGATTACCATACAAAATTGTCAGTTTAAGGATAACTTGTCATTGAAGCCAGAGGAATGTGTTATCCACTAGTACGTTCTTAAACCCGTTCCAGCTAGGGTTTAAGGTAGCGGTATGGTGACTAGGACCTCCGAGGATGGGTTTTCAAGAATAAGAAGAAAAGGGAAATTGAGTCATTTGTACATACGTTCTGGGATTTCGGGCTCGTAGTCATCGAACATCATGTTTCGGAAGGCAATATCATTGTGGCGTAACAGTAAATGCGGTTCGTCCTTTTGAAGTTCTTCCAACTCTAATGGTCCACCATGTGGCGCATTCTTTGCATATGTCATGGCAGCACAGGCCCTCATCACTTGAAGATATTAGCACAGAAATAACTAGTGGCAACACGGAAGAAGTTCTGTGATTTCTTCTTACTGCAGTAGTAAATGTTCCAGAGAATACGGTTTGGGAGCTTGGTGTTAGTTTCATATTGTCTCCTTGCGAAAGTATACAGCGAACCCCCTTCCAGGTACTCTAAAAGAATTGCTGGTCCCCGATGATGGGCCACGGCCTTGAATATGTTTTCGGGGTGATTTGTGAGTGACCGTAAGATACGTCTCAGGAACTCTGCTGTTCGGCCACTTCTTGAACGAAAATACTGGGTATCCACTGTACTGTCGATTATTTGTGCGATGTGTGCGTGGCCGCGCAGTTCCTAGTTCGTCGACTCGTCAGGTTAACGCGGACAAGCATAGAGAGGCATTCCTCCATCTTACCTCGAGTGCTCGCATTTCGGTAAGAAAATCCGTCATCCCCCGATCTGACGCCAATTGTCGCTTCAGAACTATCCTCCGCCGGCGACGATTGCGGTCACGGCGAATATGTAATGGATCTTTGTCCACCAGTAATACTGTTATTCCGAAAGCGCCATTTCCGAGCACCTTTTCGAGTTCCCATGCTGGGTTCCCCGCAAAGTTGTATCGTAGCTGAAGCTCTACGCCTTTAGCTGTGCGCTGCAAACCCTGAGCTGATACTGGCATTGTGAATTTTAAGAATAAAAGCCCTGTTGAGCTAGGTTAGGCGTAGAAATTGCACCATGAATTGCAAGATGTGTAGGATTAAGAGGCCCAGATTATGCTACCTAAGCTATATCTATCTAACGGATTGAGATGGCTGTTTCCGGCTGGATGAACTGTGCTTTGTCGCGCATCTTGACAAAGATTCAAAGACGCAAGAGTTTGAACCTCCTTACAATAAATCCCTTTATGCATTCCCAATTTCCTTGTTTGGTTATTAGCTTGAGTGCGTACACTCTAGCTGCAGGTAGAATAATTGACCCTGAAGCCTGAGAAGTTTGTGGGCTATCATAACGGAATGTTCCACCTACTACTAGAGGTTAATATCGGACGTATCTAAAATAGTGTTTGGATTAACAAAACATCCTACTTCTGTGAGTGTTTAAACAAGATAATTGAATGTAAAAATAGCGGACATGCCGTATCTAAGACGCCTGATATTACTGCCTACTAGTTGAATCCTTTTATGAAAATGTAGGCAACTGGTGCACGATTAGTAGCTCGTCACCGTTGAGTACAGGGTAAAGTCTCCGACTGCCTAGGCATCCTCAACGAAAACCAATAAGAAATCTTGTTATGCATTCAGGCGTATTATGTGAAAAGGTACCTATGATAATGATATGATATTGCAATAAGCAGGGGGCCGATTAGTCATCGGATAGAATGTAACCATTGAGCACATCATTACCCCGACCTCTCACCTCACTGCCTCGACACACCGTGACAAATTCTACTTATCTAGGCAATCCCATCTCCACGTGTAGAGGCCCTCTCCTCCATTCTCTTCTTCTTCAGCCGAACCAAATCCCTTTCTCGTTTCCGAACTCTTTCTGGTGCATTGGGTCCAAGTTTTATGTCAACTCATTCTTTCCAGTCAGATTGACGTCATTGGCACTGAATAATAGCGTGACTCCTGCGATCGTAGGTCACAACTCTTTGATTTTCGAAATCCATTAGCGTCAAAATATGGTCCAAACGAGAGGATATGCCCGACTGGGGCCCGATATCTCTCTATATACCCCAGAGCAGCCTAAGATCGGACAGCTGGTCATTATATGCCCATCCATTGGCATCGCCAAAACCAGATATGTCTGTGATTATGAGTCGCTTTATCGCAACAGTGCCCCCCGCGCGAAGATTCTCATACTGTCTCCCACCAAGTCAGGCATGCTTAGCTCTTATCAAAAACAAGAAGATGCTATGAAGCCGGCTGCAGACGCAATTTGTGATATCTTGAATGAGTGTGACCGTCTTCAATCCGCCGTCGGCGGCTCCAAAAACTCTCATACTCGACCCCGGATACTCTTGCATGCGATAGGCAATGGGGGATTCAATTCAGCAACAAATCTCTTAGTCGCCCTTGAACGCAGAACGAAGAGGAACTTACCACTAGTCGGGCTGATCTGCGACAGCGCACCCGGCGGCGCCTCGTACACCAAAGCATGCCGGGCTCTAACGTACTCCTTCATCACTGATCTTACAACGGATTTCCCCACCGGAATACTTCGTTGGGTGTTGGTCCACGCTGTACTTTCCATCGTGTATCTGTTCATTGCTTTCACACGATACGAGGCGCCTGGCGCTTACTGGCGCAAATCGATTCTAGACAAGAAGCTTATTGACTGCAACAAAGTTTATTATTTTGCGTCGATTGACGACAAGGTGACTGATTGGAGGGACGTCTTGTCGCACGCGAAACAAGCTCGCCAACAAGGTTGGGAGGTCAAGGAGCTCTTATATGATTATACACCTCACTGCGGGCATATCAGGAGAGAGAAGCAAAGAATCAATTACGAGGATGCTATTTACTATCTATGGGAAGGCAAAAAGATATGACCTTTACAACTGGGCATGTGATACCTGATCAGTGACGGAGGAGGATGGTACACGAGTTCTTGAATTTTCAAGACATGAAGTTTTTGGTTGTTGGTACTACAAGATCATGATTATGCTAAGAATACGATTATTATGAACCCCCTAAGCGCAATAAAACAATTACAGACTCATAGCTCATCGCAGCAAAAACCTCAAACTACACGGTTCAGGCCTTCTCATCACAAGGAGAGGGATAGTAAGAGCTCACGGCACACCCCTCACGAAACATAACCCCGCGAAAGGATCCAGCCACTGTTCTTCCGTTTTAAATGACGATTTATTCGCGCACGTACCTTGAGAAAAAGGGCTTGGAGCACGCAATTACGCGTGCTTCTTGCGATTCTTGGCAGGGAGAGACGATAGGTGGAGATCTGACATGCAGTTATGCGGCGTCGCAGCCGAGACTAGAGTGACATGCATACTGCTGTCCAGGGGTCAGCTACCCGTCTAGGCAAACTCCGTTGCTGATCGTTGCCAGTGGTGGATATGGGGTAACAATGACTGCCGGCAGGTTTCAGTGGAAGTGGGTTTGACCGTTATCTTTCAATTCATGAAGACCATGTTTTCATGCCGATGCGTCGGTCCGGTCAGACTTGCTTGCTTCAGGTCGTGACGGATGAGAATTCTCTCTGCGGGTACGAGAAACGAGAAGAGATAGAAAGCAAGGAATCATAAACGGGAATAATAAAACTAGATTCATTTCCAGCTTTTGGTAATTAGATGGAAATAGTAGGACATTTACTTACTGCTCACTTTGCTTGCCTTAATCCTTCCAATACCCTACTCTCATATCCGCGTCATCACCATAATAACCCATAGAAAGCCACCGAATTCAGGGATAATGCCACGCAATACCGCGACCACCTTGGTCTTAACACATCCGGAGACCATCTATGATTCTGCCAGATCCCAGCCAGATCCAGATACACACTCCCTGCAACACCGCAACAATGCTCAGAACACGCCAGCCGCCAGCGCAACCCCAGGTCCTTTCACCCCAGACCAATTCGACGATCAGACGCAGCGCCTACCAATTGCCCGTCTCATAGCAGCGTACCTCTGTCTGTGTCTCTGCTATTTCATCTCGTATCTAGACATGACCTCCGTGACCACGGCGTTGCCAACAATATCAAGCTCCTTCCACACCGGGACAGCCATAACTTGGGTCGGCGCCGCGTATCTCCTCGGGCAGACCTCTTTCCAGCCCCTATACGGGCGGATATCCGATATCTTTGGTCGGCGACCTATTCTCCTATGCTCCGTCGGGTGTATCGCCCTTGGCGGTGCGCTATCGGGTTTTGCTAGGACGCCGACCTGGCTCTTCGTCACGCGCGCTATAAGCGGTGTCGGCAGCGGTGGCATATCCTCTACTGTGGCGATTATAGTGAGCGATCTCGTCAGTCTGAAAGCGAGAGGTAAGTACCAGGGTATGATAAGCCTTGCGATCGGTGCGGGTGCTACTGCCGGACCATTCGTCGCCGCGGGCTTGATACAAGTGGGTGCTGACGGTTGGCGGTGGACGTTCTTTGTTCCTGCGATTGCGGCCGGCGCGTGTTTTGTTCTGCTGCTGTTTGTGTTGCCGCCGAATCAGGTCTCTGGCGATTGGAGCCAGAAACTCCGGAAGATCGATTGGCTTGGAGTCATCACCTCTGTTGCGGGCATCGTGCTAACAGTGGTAAGTTATCCCGTACACAAGTTGTGATTAACACATGATCTTCTACGCAGCTGATAGCAATGTCCTGTAGCTGGCTGTCAACTCCGGCGGGATCCTCTGGGCTTGGACCAGCTCACAAGTCCTTTCAACTCTAATCATAGGCGGTGTTCTATTCTTTGTATTCATCGCTATCGAAGCTTCTCAAGCCAAGATACCCATCATGCCGTTGCGACTGTTTACGAGTCGCTCACGATGTCTGTTGCTTCTGATTGGTTTCCTGAGCGATTTCTCTTGGCAGGGGACGCAATATTTCGTGCCCCTTTACTTCCAGACACTACGGGGCTATACCCCTTTACAGAGTGCAACTTTGATTCTGCCATTTGTTGCCGCGCAAGGGATAGCCGGTGCAACTTCTGGCCCCGTGATGTCTAAACTTGCCAGGTAGTCAAACACATATTTCTGATATAAATCCTTTGGTTTTCTATTTGACTTGCTGAATTTCGGGGTTTAGATACAGCCAAGTTCTTCGCACAGGTTTGCTATTCTGGACCCTCGGTGCGGGCTTGAAGCTCTTATTCAACGAGAACACACCTACACACACAAATGTGATCGTACTCGTTCTCGAAGGGATCGGAGTGGGCTGGGTGCATCAGCCAGGTAAGTCGTTCAGCCGCAAAACATCATTCCTTGTATCTAGATAACTCATCCTGATTGCATAGGCCTCGTAGCTTTACAGGCCAACTCCGGGACAGAAGACCGTGCGGTGGCAACAGGGACCCGAAATGTCCTTCGCTCCCTAGGCGGCGTAGTAGGTGTTGCGATCTCGTCGGCGGCACAATACGCCGTCACGGGCGCGGCTTTGCGCCGAACCGTACCGGAATGGCTATCTGAGAGTGTTCTTCTGGGCACACGGCATGTTGGTGACAAAGGTACGATGGTGTATGCAGCAGATATCCAAAATGCGCGGCTGGCAGGTTTTCGAACAATCTTCGCGATCCAGGTCCCGCTAGTTGGATTATGTCTTCTCGTTAGCTTCTTTATAGATGATGTAGTCCTAAAAGGCGACGCGGAAAGGCACAAGCCGAAGAAGAACAGGCGTAGTTGGTTGCTTAGGACCTGAGTAGCACTAGGCCCAAAGGTACCATCAATATCACTGGAGCAAGAGCTGGCGACAAAGCTTAAGTTGAAGCTATTCATGATGCAATAATCTAGTATAGCAATCAAGGTAGAATTAGGCGATACAAGCACTTGTCCAGCATAGTTATTATGACTGTAGATTCGTGTAACATGGCCTGAATTCACGAGCATGACAGAGCCAAATAAGGGGTTCATGCGGGGAGGGACCTGAATTGATCACATGAACTTGGTTAGCTATAAGGGATTATGATATGGCGGATAGCTTCTATTCCAAAATCGGCTCCTAGCCCTTGTGTAGTGGTTATCCCATCACCAGTTTCTGTCTACCGCCTGTCTACCTGTATCAGTTAAACGCCAATGAACTCCAAACTATTGTCAAACATTTTCCCCACCAAGACCGCTTGCTCCAAGACTCCTTCAATGCCTCCCTGCACTCTTCTCTGATTATAACAACGCTTTCGTTACCAGGTTCATAAAATCACAGAGAATACACGTAATCTCTTTCATAAGCTCTTCGAGAGAACCCAGTCGGTCTGGACGCACGTGCCAGTGGTAAAGTCGGCTTCTCCCACTTTCTGATAACCCAGCCTCTCATACAGTTTCGCTGCTTTGGGATTGTTCTCCCAGACGGTGAGCCACAATTGCTTGAAACCCTCGGCGCGAGCCTGCTCCTCAACGGCAGCGATGAGCTTTTTGCCGATGCCCCGGCTGTGCGCGGTGGTGTCGACATACAACCGCCGGAGCTCGGCGTGTGTGGCGGTGTCTCCCGGGACGCAGGGCTCCGACAGGCCCCGGACGAGCTGTACCAACCCCAGCACCTTGCCAGACGTGTCCCGGGCTGCCCACGTCTGCACGGCGGGATCTTGCAGATCCGCCAACACGGTGATTTCGGTGTACGTCTCGGTTAGGAACATGGCCAGGTCTTCTTCAGACACCGAGAACCCGAATGTGGCGGCGAATGTGTCTGCGCCTATCTTCGCGATGGCGGCGGCTTCTGAGGTGAGGGCGTGCCCTACTGTGACGTCTAAGCCGGGAATTGTTGCCTTGGCAAGCTCTGGGGCGGGCACTACGGGTACCACGACCGGTTTGCTGGTGTCGTTGATAGTGGTCATCTTGAGGTGATTGCCGTGACGCTAGCTACACATTACGGCGGGAAGGGATTGAAGTACAAAAGGACTGGTTGATGAATTGGGAACTTCTGTTTACTGTACCTAAAACAAGGAAAAAATATTAAAAAGGGGGGGAGGGAAGTAATTGCAATTTAAATTGCTTCTAGTGTGTCTGGATTCATCTGGACTCTGTCACCTACTCATGCCAACTCGGAGATGCTGAGTTATTCGAGACAGACTATCCGTCTCCACTGCTGGTTGTCAATTTTACGCCCTTCTGGACTCGTAGGGTATAGCGGGTGTTGCATCGGGATATGGTCACTGTAGACTTGCTCTATGAATCTCGCTTTTTGACGCCTTATAGGGCAGGTTCAGATTGACCATCTCGTAATGAGTCAGGTTGGCCAACCCCCAGTTTCTTTTGATTTGGCATGGGAAATACTGATGAGAAGCTGACCTTTTCACGTAAGGGCCATGGATCTCTACGCCATGCGTCTAATCAGCACTCGATTGACCTCAGTCCTTTTGTTACAACCTTCAATGACAACTCTAAAAACATATACTCTGAGTTGATTCGCCCATTGCTAACTTGGCATAACTAAAATTCAAGAGGCTGTCAGGATATGCAGTCAGACGCTGCTGGAAGAATCTGGATGTGGCTAAAAGAAAGATGTTAATAAGCCTGGGGTACGGTGGGCCACTACCACAAAGTGCGAAAATAAAAAATCAGGTCAAGTGCGGGGTAAAACCTATTTTCCAACTTTACCTAAGGGGACCAAATATAATAAAGGGTATAAAGTAAAGTTTTAAAAATATAAATAATTACTTAAATATCTATTTTAAAGGTTATATAAATAATATATAGTTTATATTAGGCTTTATAACTATTTAAGTTATAGCTTTTGGCTATATAGGTCTATATTGCAGTTAGTATTGTAGGTCTGTATTGTAGGTCTGTATTGTAGGTCTGTATTAAAGGTCTGTATTGAAGGTCTGTATTGCAGTTAGTACTGAAGGTCAGTATTGAAGGTCTGTATTGAAGGTCTGTATTGCAGTCAGTACTGAAGGTCAGTATTGAAGGTCTGTATTGCAATCAGTACTGTAGGTCTGTATTGCAGTCTGTATTGCAGTCTGTATTGCAGTCTGTATTGCAGTCTGTATTGCAGTCAGTACTATAGGTCAGTACTGAAGGTCTGTATTGTAGGTCTGTATTGCAGGTCTGTATTGCAGTCAGTACTGTAGGTCTGTATTGAAGGTCAGTACTGAAGGTTAGTACTGAAGGTCTGTATTGTAGGTCTGTATTGCAGTCTGTATTGTAGGTCTGTATTGAAGGTCTGTATTGCAGTCAGTACTGAAGGTCAGTATTGAAGGTCTGTATTGCAGTCAGTACTGTAGGTCAGTATTGCAGTCTGTATTGCAGTCTGTATTGCAGTCTGTATTGCAGTCTGTATTGCAGTTTGTATTGCAGTTAGTACTGAAGGTTAGTATTGAAGGTCTGTATTGCAGTTAGTACTGTAGGTCAGTATTGCAGTTAGTACTGTAGGTTAGTATTGAAGGTTTGTATTGAAGGTCTGTATTGTAGTTAGTACTGAAGGTTAGTATTGAAGGTCTGTATTGTAGTCAGTACTGAAGGTCAGTATTGCAGTCTGTATTGCAGTCTGTATTGAAGGTCTGTATTGTAGGTCTATATTGCAGTCTGTATTGCAGTTAGTACTGTAGGTTAGTATTGAAGGTCTGTATTGAAGGTCTGTATTGCAGTCAGTACTGTAGGTCTGTATTGCAGTCTATATTACAGTCTATATTACAATCAGTACTGTAGGTCAATATTAAAGGTCAATATTAAAGGTCAATATTAAAGGTCAATATTAAAGGTCAATATTAAAGGTCAATATTAAAGGTCAATATTAAAGGT